CAGCGGCTACCAGTCCTCTTAGGTTCGCTGCACACAGGCGCGATAGAGCCAAAGGCGGCACGCCCGTCAGTCAGGGCGTGCTGTAAGGTCCTTATGCTTGGAAAGACATACCCCTTCCCAATAGTTCCCTTTCTGTCCCACGTGGCAAGCTGGTCCGGTCCATCTTCTTTTTTGTTTTTATCTTCTTCAGTATCTGCTTCTCATTGCTGGTCTCAACGTCATAGGCAATGTTCCAGGTAAACATCTTCTCCAGTCCTCGCTGGTACAGCAGCGGGCATATAACAACGAGATCACCAGCATTCCTGTCAACTGGCGTAATGGCCAGTCCTTGAAACTTCCTCTTTGCCGCAAGAACCAGCGCTTCATCTGCATCACCACTTCCGCTACACCCGGCGGCAAAACAATCCGCCAGTTTCAAGTCATAAAGGTGTTTAATTACTGTGTATCCCAAGACTGAAGTCAGTCCTTGTTAAATGTTTGTCCTGAGCTCATCCCACGACGTCTCCAATCTTGGGAAGACCGAAGTTTTTCCCGTTTAGGACCAACTGAGGTAAGTCCCCAGCATCTGCAATTCTTGAGAGGACATGTCCGTCAACGCGTGGGAGCTCGAACTTCGGGCAGGCACAACTGAGGTCATCTCTTCTGCTCAGGGAATTGTGATGGCATAGGATTTCAGATACGTTCGGGTTTCTTCGCCAGACAAACCTAAGCTTCCTGCTCAAAAGTCCTGTAATGGCAGTATATATACAGTAATTCACAACTACTAATGTTGCTCAACAAAGTACTTTTCACTTCTCAATTCTTGATATCCTTCCTAAACCGAACATTGACTTTTATCTTTCTTCTCACGTTTACACAGGCTTTGTTTGACACGCATCAGCTACCAAGTCCACAACCGTTTTCCTAGTACTCTTTCCCTTGAAGGTACTAGCACTGCTGTAGCGGACCCACCAGGTGTGGTGCTCCGCTAGCGATAGAGATGGAGATGGAGGAAGAAGGGGGGGAACGAGATGGCACAACGCAGCTCCCCACACAAGACTCCAACGCACGTACTCCAAAATGTGCAAGTGAAGAATGCCCCTGAAAACAGACAATGGCTGGGGTATACCCCAGCGGACTGACGGGACTGGACTGGACTGGCTGGTACCGACAGAGGTACTGGCCTGGACTGGCCTACCCTGAATACAACACAAGCCTGTGAGAACAGGCCAAGGGGCTGGTCTCACAGGCCAACCCGAGGTCCGCTACACGATCCTCGGCCTGTGATGGATCGCCTAGATACAAACATGCTTCCGCCAAGAAGCGGAACTCTACCAAAGAAAAGAAAACCTGAGTAGTCTAGGATGCGGAGCAAGCTCCATGCTGAGTCCATGCGATGCAACCTAGGATATAAAATGTCACAAAACAGCAATGTCACAGCTAACAGCCTAAGTGAAAGCAGAAGCAACTAACTAACATACATGTCCTAGGAAAGCAAGAGCAACTAACTAGCATACATGTCCTAGGAAAGCAGAAAGTAGTGACAACTAGATCCTAGAATGTTGGAGGCACTAGCCTCAGTCTGGTAACAACTGACTAGTGTATAAGTCCTA